ACCAAACTCGTATAATGTCTTAACATCTGTTAAAAGTATACATTTTGGTATCAAAACTCCAACATCAAAACTTGCATTCTTGTTCGTGTGATGCTTTATAATGTAACAGTTTGTACTAGAAAATGATTTAATGTTTATCAAAAAATGTTGCAGAGTTCTTGGAAAGTAACAATTTTGAAAAGTTTATTTCCTACGTTTTTTTAATAAAACTGCCTTTTCGCCGAGAGAGGACTACATAAGAATGTTTTATTGTTTTAACAAGGGTAGTTCCACATGTATTTACTTAAATAACAAAAATACAGTTTTACGGATGAAACATTATCGGCGTCTTAGCTTCATTAGATTTATAGGTAGCGCGAATATTAACGTCATACCAAAAGTTGGTAATCCGTGCTATAACTTTTGACTAGTGGGACACGGCAGTTAATGAATATAACTTTCAAGATGCAGGAAAAGTTAGTGGATAAACACGTTTTCTCCATCACATGGCCTAGACTTGAAGGCGGAGGTTTATGTGGTATACTTTGTTATAAATATGTATTTGCACAAACGTACATATGTAACGATAAATTCTTGGCTAATATTTGCTTCGTTTTATTTCTTATAATTGTAACAAAATACTTAGTTTTATACGTTTTTTCATTAACTCTTCAACTAAATTATTTCGAATTTAATTAAGAGAAAGTACTTTTCTCGAAGGAAGATGTTTTCGTAATATTTTCTCTAATATTTTGATGGCAAAAGAAATGTGACTTGTGAATGCAGTAGATTTCGGGAACTGGTTCACAATCGATAAAGCTCAGTTTTCGAGACACTTTTTATTAATTAACTAGCTGAGTTACCCGGCGTTGCACGGTGAAAATTTAGATTTGAAATGTATAGATCAGTATTTTTTTTCAGCAAATTATCCAGTAAGTAGACAAAAAGCTGTGATGCGAGAAATAAAAAAGCGTTTAATCAAACAAATCTTTATTTGAAATCTGATCGTGTTTGAGCTTGTCTTGCT